CCGGTAGCAGGTGCGGGCGGCTGAGGGTTCAGAGAGGGAGGACTCAGATGAGGGGCCTGCGTGGGATGCAGGGATGGGGCCAGGACCATCAGGGAGTGGAGTGCTGCCTTCGGAGATTGTGGAGGCTGGCAGCAGTGAGGAAGAGGCCCCCGAGGAGCCTGTGCCCAGTGTGTGTGTGCGCAGGGATGCTCGAAGGAAAGTGCAGCTGCAGCAGCACGGGTGACTCGGGAGTAAGGCTGCAAGGTAATGGCCCCTCCCTTAAGGGATAAAAGCCAGCTGAGAAACCGGAGTTCTTTGCAGGAAGCAAAGAAGTTTTTGCACTCAAGCCTTGTGGACTTTCGAAGTATCTTGGTTGGTGTTTGGAGACTCTTTGTGTTTGGAATATTTCTTGGCAACTTTATCTGGTGTTCTTGGCAGCCTTGCAAAAACCTTGGCAAGGCTCTTTCTTACCGGAGCTAATTGGTTTGAAGCAGCCTTTTACCCATGAAGGAACAGGATTTGTAAAGAATCATTAAGAGGTTTTGTTGTTACCTCTGTTTCGTCTTTGTTTCCTTGGAACCAGGTTTGGGTCAACGCTGGGACACCCCCCAACAGTGGGCTGTGATTCTCTCCCCTCTTTTTCCTGGCGAGCTGCTGATGCCGGGGTGTCTCTTTGCAGGTGGAGGAAGTGGCCCATGTGATTAAAGCGAAGCCGATGCCCCACCCAGGGGTGCCCTTCAAACCCAAAGCCACAGAGCCAAGGCTGGTGGAAACCTGCCCGTTCTCATTTGACGCCCGGGACAAGGAGCGGCTACTTCAGAAAGAAAAAAAAATCGAAGAGCTGCAGAAGGAGGAGGTAGGTGCCAATGAAAGGGGTACTTCCTTTTTATCATTTATTTGTGAAATGTAATTGGCCGCTTGTCTCGCCATGGGGCTATAATTAAAAGAAGAAGAAACATTAAAGGAGTGTAAACGGAACAGAAGTAAAATAATAGAACAATAAAATAAACAACGACAAGAAGAATACAGGAAGTTCTCAACCACCATAACTGAGCCCAAAATCTCTGATGCAAAACGAAGGGAGTTGTATCTCGCGAGTTTACCAGAGGGATTTGATAAGGGAACAAAGCCGTTACAGAATCTGGAAGTCCTGCTAGAAATAGTTTGAAACCCCCTCCCAGAGGGGAGCAACAGAAACAGACCGTGAAGTGGGGTGTGTGGGGTCTCTAACAAGGCTTCCAGCTCTCTCAGCACATAGCGCTTATAAGCAGCATCCCAAGTGACAGGAAGCGAGCTTCCTATCCTCTTCTCCACTGTCCTCACCACTCCCTGTAGGGACTTTCTATCTGAGGCACTTCTGCCACCAAACCAAACAGGGATGCCGTTTGTTAAAACACTCTCCATCGTGCCCCTCTAAAAAGTGGCCAAGACAAGCCCACCTTAGCCATGAAAGCCGAATGGGTCACCCTGGGCCCATCACCAGGAGATGGAGAGTTCTAGTCCCATCTAAGGCACGAAACCCCAAGTGGTTTGACTTTGGGCCAAATCCTCCTTCTTTCTCAGCCCAACCCACCTCACATGGTTGCTGTTGGGGAAAATAGGAGGAGGAAGCTATGTTGGATATGTTCGCTGCCTTGAGTTATTTGTAAAACTAATAACGGCGGGATATAAACAAACAAATTAAAACATGAGTTGAAACAAACAAAGTAGAACAGGAGAAAACCATTGCAGCTGAAAGGTGCTTTTTTCAAGAGGTAACTGGACTTCTCTTGGTTTTTTCCTTTTGAAGACTTTTCGCTTCTCATCCAAGAAGCTTCTTCAGCTCTGACTGGAGGGTGGGGAAGGGAAGGATTTTATATATATTCCTTGGACTAGATTTATATTCCTTGGACTAGATGACCTACAAGTTCTCTTCCAGCTCTGATTATCTGTTAATCTCTAAACATAACAGCTTCAAATAAAAAATAAAAAAATCCTTGCAAGACAGCTGGTCATTTGCATTCTTTCAGAGGGTCGTTGAGGCCACTTGGAGGCGAAATGTCTTCAAAAGGAGAAAAAAAAAACCCCAGAAAGTCCAGTTACCTCTTGAAAAAAAGAAGAAAAAAAGCACCTTTGCCTTTTTTGTGTGTGACCTAGATGCCTTGAGAACCTCCCTAGACGTTGCAACCTTAACTTTTGACAACCGCTTCTCCTGGGCTCCCTCTCCACCCAACCGCGGCCCTCACGCCAAGCTGGATTCTCACACCTTTACAGTCAGGGATGCCTCTTTTCTCTTGGGGGCTACAAAAGCACTCGGACTATTGGCCCGCCACCGCCAAAGGTCTAAAAGTGACAGCTGGCATTCTCCTCGAAGGCGCCTCCTTCCCCTCCCGGACCCAACGCCTGCGTTTCCTGTGGCTCTTTTAACACTTGGGCAGAGCGATCTAGTCCCCCTGGGACGTTCCTGCCAGTTTCCCCAAAATGTCAGGTGATAAGTGAGTGCCAAAATCTAGATGCGGAAGGCGAGCTCCATTATCGTGCGAGGTGGAGCCTGCCTTTTTTCCTAGCTGCCAGATAGTAAATTCCATGACAAATGGCTGGCTGTTGAATTCTACTGTATAGTGCCATATTAATGCAATATCAGTGGTTTTTTTAATTCAGTGTATAGAATGTGACGGATGTGTGTTTGCATTTATTTTCATAGCCATAATGTACATTGAAGATGGTATTTAATTTTGTTGTACCAGGTGCCATGACAATAAAGAAAACTAAACTAGGGCACTGCACACCAGAATAACTAGACACAAGGACAGTTTTTTCCCCAAACGCCATCCCTCGGCTAAGCAAATATTTCCCTCAACACTGTCCAACTATTTACAAAGTCTGCACTACTATTACCATTAACCTTCTCATCACTCCTTTATCACCCATCCCCTCCCACTTGTGACTGTATGACTGTAACTTTGTCGCTTGTATCCTTACGATTTATATTTCCTAGCATGATTGGATTGCTTATTATACCCTATGACTATCATTAAGTGTTGAACCTTATGATTCTTAACTCTTGACAAATGTCTCTTTTCTTTTATGTACACTGAGAGCATTTGCACCAAGACAAATTCCTTGTGTGTCCAATCACACTTGGCCAATAAAGAATTCTATTCTGTTCTATTCTATTCTATTCTATTCTATTCTATTCTATTCTATTCTATTCTATTCTATTCTATTCTATTCTATTCTTATTGTACCCTCTGACTATCGTTAAGTGTTGTACCTGATGATTCTTCACTCTTGACGAATGTATCTTTTCTTTTATGGACACTGAGAGCATTTGCACCAAAGACAGATTCCTTGTGTGTCCAATCACCCTTGGCCAATAAAAGGATTCTATTCTATAAGTCGAGGACTGCCTGTGATGAGTGGAAGGGCTTGCCTCCAGAGGTGGTTGGGGGCTCAATCCTAGCAATGCTTTCAAAGCAGACCCTGGCCAGCCGCCTCACTCCCCAGGTGCCTTTCCCTCCCTGCAGGTGCCCAAGTTCAAAGCCCACCCGCTGCCCCAGTTTGACCACATCAATCTGCCCGAGAAGAAGGTGAAGAGCCCCACAAAGCCAGAACCTTTCCAACTAGCCATCGATGCCCGTGGAGCTGTCCGGCAGGAGATGTGGCAGCAGCAGGTAAGACCGGTGGCGGGATCCGCTTGGGCTTGAAGGACATTTTTGTCCACAAAAGAAATCCAGATCTGGGTTCAGCCCCCTCCCCTG